TTGAAAATTATTACTTACATTTAATATATTATTCAAACAGTTTTGAAGACTAGTTCATATACTCAATTACCTCATAATATAAATGAGGGTGATAAACACAGAAAATTTCTATAATATGTTGTGACAAGTCCTTGCAATGATGGCTTGCATCCTGCACTGTGGGAAAGCAAAACATAAAGAACTAACTGCTCTGCTGTGGGATGGCTGATCGGACAAGCATGGCCACATTTCACCTAGGTATTAAAGAATGAATATAGTGTACTAGCTAGGGAAAAAGAGAAGAGAGATATGTCATATACAGAGAAGAACATTTGAAAAGGCTTCAAGGTTGACATGGGACTTACTCTTTGGGGAATGGCAGAATTCTTTGTTGTGGCAGAAGCTGGAGTGCTAGAGTTGTGAAGATAGAAGTATTAAACAGGTAGGCTGGCTCCAGATTGTGAAGGTACTTGAGTGCTATGTTTACAAATTTGGATTTTGAAATAGAGGTATTGTATTCTTTTTATGGTCATTTATTTTATAAGATATCAAGGAAAGGGTGATTCAATGAAATCAGCAAGTAACAGTGGCATTTTTAAGCAACTTTGATACAGAACTAGCCACAGGGGTTCTCTTTTGCCTCCTGATTTTCCAAATCTGTCCCAATTTCATATAAACTAATAACTGTGGGGTAGACTTTTATTGGCATATTACAGTCCCCTGAATGAGGAAATGTGACAGATAAGCTAGAGAACTGCCTTGGTTTTTCTCCCATGAGACAGAACTCTGACCTTGTATTTTGAGTTTGGGGTGTTTGGGATGTTGGTGACTATTTTTTAGTTCAGTGACTTAGTTGACTGAGCTAGGAAGGAACTATCTGAAACCGACATGGACTCTTGCCAGAAGATTAGCTAGGGAAATATTAGATTTTCCAAATCCAGTCTCTATCACTTTAAAACAGATAATTTAGAGGAGAATAAAATATCTTGAAAATTAATGGCAATTTTGAAATAGAATATTTTGTCAAAATCAAATTCATTTCATTAAATGCTTGAGAAGAATGCAACGAGTAAATGAGGTATGAATAACTGTAAGATGGGACAATTACCACCTCAGAAACAATATATTTGTAAAGTTAATTCTTCTTGAACATGAACAATCCCCTTACACTTGACCCCTTTCTATTGCCTCTTCCATGCTTGAACTCTCCTTGAACTTTGAAGATCCATCTTGAGAGTATGATATGGCCATCTCTTTTGCATCTGGTTATTTTAGCTCCAATTTGCAGCCCTAAAATGGCAATTATGGTGATGTATTGCAGAAGTCACCCGACATGGATTAGTATCGGGATCAGCACATTTATGCACAGGAGTAGTGAATGGAGACTGCAGCTATGATTTTAAATGACTTGATTAATTCTGAAACAACATTTCAGAGTCCATTAGGTCCAGCAGGTGTTGGGGTGCAGACTGTGCTTTTTTCCTAAACAGCATATTCGATTAAAATGCCAAAGTATTTTGGATTCATCTATTATCTTTCCTAGAATAGTTTCCTTTCACTTTGTTAAATCCCATTAACACTCACCACTCCTCCTGAAAGAGATCCTCTCCTTGTGCTTCTACCCAAGTTCTCTTGTATCAGTTACTGACCGCCAGCTCTGTCTGAGCCACTTGAACAGTGTGTTCTGTTCTTGTTTAAGAGGGTATTTACATGACAAAACTCCTGCTAAAAGCTCTTGCTAACTCAGGTCAAAATAAGGCCAATTGTGGTGTATATTCTTAGGGCCATTTCATCAGCAACTCGTGTCAAGGTTAGAAATGTGTCTGGTTAATGCCTTGGTTCAATGCTTTCTTTTACTACTAAATACACATGTACATGACATTATGCATCTCCCCTCTGCCCTCCACCCCATCTGGGTGTCACTGCTCTAATAAAAAACATGTAGGGCTGGGCTTTTCATTTAAGTTCTTTGGGTTTTGAAATTCCTAGATTCTTTGTCGGTTTTCATGGATTCTAAGGTATCTTTGAAAAATTCTGACAATGGGCCTTTCACGCTTCATCACTTCCAGTTCCTTTCTTTACAGCATAAAGAGCATTTCAATGGTTCAATGGTACAACATTTGTACAATAATCTCAAAATGCGGTATCATGAATTGTTCTGTCATCTGTTCCCCTAGCACAATGGGCCTGTCTCTATTACAGCACATAGCAACGTGTATTCTAGCTATTTTTGTGTCACTACTTTTGTCCTCCTTAAGAGTCACATTTTATTCCTCTGTCTTTAGCCCTGTTTCACATTTATCCATCCATCCTTCCACCCATCCATCCATTCATTCATCAGTCTGTCTACTTAACACATGTAGAGCCTTTATTATTATTGTTGTTGTTCTTTGCTAAACAATGTGCTACATATTCAATAAATATTTTTAATTTCATTGAATTAATATACTCTTGGAAGCCAAACAAAAATAAATCATACCGTTCTAGTCACCTAAAATTAATGCTTCTCGTATAAGTATCTAATATAATGACAATATAATAAGTATATAAAATATGTATAAATAGGAGGCAGGACACTTGGTTATTAGTATCAACTTTTTTTATATACTAATGGTTGAGTTACTTGAACAAGTCACATAATCTCTTTGTGAATTTTTTTCATTGTAAAATATAGATGAAACTTATTTGTCCTACCCAACTTATGGTGCTGTTGAAAGGGTTGAATAAAAGAATATAAGTGAAAATATTTTGAAAACCATACAAAAATACTACTTGGTATGATGATAAAGATGGTAGTTGAAAGTATATGGCTGTGTTTCACATGTGGTATACCTGGGATTAATGTCTTCCACAGCAAGAGAGCTAATGTTCATTATGAAGCTGCCATAGGTAAACTGATAAAACTATTCTGTTGTTCAAAACTTCAAATTATAAATTTGTGTATGCTTTTAAAATGATGACCAATATAAATTTTATTCACAAGAAATGGATACCATGTTTAGTAATAACAGTTCAAATTTTTCTGTTTTACTAAAAGGAACATGTGTAAAAATAGAATACAGATTATTTTAATGTTGAAAACTTGGATCTGAGTTACCTAATAACTTTCTATATTGGTTTTAAAACTATTATAATTTCAAAGGATATGTCATAATCATAGTTTTTTAATTCCCAAGCTTAAACATTGAGACTTTTAAAAAATTTTGTTCATCTCTTCTTGCAAATTTGGCAACAACTGAGAAATAGGACATAAAAGTCAGACAAATAGAAATCCTTATTACTCATAACAGCTGAACTAGTGAGTATTACTTTAGATTTATGGCCAGAGAGGGCTTACTAATATATCACTGGATGAGTCTTTCCTCTCTCCTCAGAACTACAGGCCCCATCTTGCACAAGTAGGACTTGATCTGCTAAGCTACCACATGGGAGAGTGGCCCAAAAGCTTGCATCCTGCAGTCAAGCTGGCTCTTAAAGAGAGGGACCCAGAAGATGCTGTATCGAATGTACTCAATTACTTCTCCCAAATTCCTCCATTGGATCAGTCACTCTTCCCATGAGAGGAGTAACTTGTCCATGCTGCGCATGCTGGAGAACAGAGTGGAAATGTCCTCCTTTAGATGGAATCATGGGTAGTAACTGTCCTCAACACATCATCATCATCATCATCATCATCATCATCATCATCATCATCATCTGTTACACACTGAGCAAACTCCACCACAGCAGAACCTCAGGCGGCCCCACCAGGAACATTGTCTACTGAACATCCTGAGGAAGAGAGGAAAGACCTTGCCTTTCCATACGTCTACCCCCACCCTTACACTCCCACCCGCCTTCTCTTTCTAACAATCTAACCAAGAGTTTGGCCTTTTTGTTTAAAAACTACAACAGAAATAATTGTTTTTAAACATAGAACAGTCCTATCGTTTGCTTTAGGAAGTTGGACTTATTAGTTGCTAAGATCTCTTTCTGTTGAAAATATTTAGTGACTCAGAATTAGTACCCATGTAGGGAAATCATGAAGTTGCTCAAAAGTAGATTTTGCTCTTTTTAGTCATGATTTCTTCTTCTTTCTACTTTCAGTCCTGAAAACTAAGGTTGTTGATTTTAAATAGCAGATGAGCAGGTACTTCAAATCTCTTAATAAACATCAATAGTAAATTGGTTGATTACTGTTGAAAAGGATAAAAAGTATCAAAATATTATTCCAGTGCATGATGTTTCCTAAATATTATCATTTTAGCATCGTTTTACTTTTTAAGGCAACACTTTCCTGGATAGGTGAAAAAAGACTAGTTGAAATCACACACCTTGGTCGAACATCTGTTGTGTGCAAGGCATTGTGCTAAGTACTGTGGAAGATAGAAAAATACTAAAACATGAACAGTTCCTTCACACTATATATGCATAATTTCACCCACAGGCATTTATATTCTAGTAGAAATGTGCTGAATTAAATCTCACTACTGGAGGCCAAGGACATAATGCAGGGTCCCAAACAGAACAAAACTGGAGCTGCCTGGATTAAAAGTAATGGAAAAGAAACACTAATGCTAAAGATGCGTATGCCAGCTGGTGGGAGGTGCATTAGAACAGACTGAACACAGCATCCACTGGAGTCTCATACAGCCGGACAATAGCACAAAGCCCTAAGTGCCCGAGAGGAAGCTTTGAATAGCTCAGTCAGTCTTTGAGTTTGAATGGATAGTATTGGACAGAAGTGTCTCAGGCATTGGAAGAGTGTGGGAGGAAAGAGGAGGGGATGTTATGAATATCTTATCCTGAGCTTTAAGATGAGAACAATGGGCTTCTTATGCAAACTGAATTGAGATGACCGTCCTATTTCAAATAGCCAAGAAACTGCATAACTTAAACCTGAACATGTTAATGCCATAGGGAGTTTCTATATATGGATTCACTTTACAAAATAGTACGCTGTCACTGCTTGATCTTTTTAAAATTCTTTAAGCAAAATTAAAGTTCATGAAAATAAAGTTCACATCATCTTCCTGGTTTAGAGACTTATGCCCTGCTGAAAAGGCCAAGCAGGACCCAAGTCTGCCTTGAAGATGACGGTAGAGGAGTTAACAAATGCTTGGTAAGTTTCCTTACGTGTTTGCTTATTTCACCAACATTCTTAGTGTTCAATTCATCATACTTATAAAATTCTTAAAGTTTAAAGTATTTTTTAAATCATCTAAAAATAACCTCTCACCTATTTTAGTAATGCCTCCTCCTCAAGTACCTCCCATAGATGGTCAAAACCTTCTGAACAAATTTGGTTGCTTTAGTGATTCAGAGTTCCATGTTTGTTTTTAAATCTCTTTGCAGCCAGTACCTTACAACTTTTACTCTTTAATTCCCTATCTGACCTTCCCCATCTATGGACAACCATCATATGTTGGAATATAACTGTCTTCCCTTAGTTTTTCCTTTGAGCCAATCATATTCAGGTCCTTCAGCAATTCTGTGTGTGGCATCCGTTTCCAAGGGAATATCTTAGGAATATTATTTCTCTGTATTTTATTTATTTCATTACCACTGAAATTACCACATCTCCCTCCCCTGCATCCCCTACCTTCACTTTTTTGGGGGGGAATTTTCCACATTTCCCTTCCCAGAAACTGTTACAAGATGACATGTCAGGACATAAACAAGTGTTAGGCTTTGTGTGAGCAGATAGACTCATAGAGTTTTATAAGTTTGAGAGACACTCAGGAGGGAAAGCTTTTTGCTTACAAGGCCTACTACTGTGTGCAAGATGCTTACTTGTCAATTTCTGAATGGGCAGGAACATTTGGTAGCCTATTTTCTTCGCATTTAGTATTGAATTAGCACAAAATAACTGGCCTTCCATGTTCTATGTGGCCATGTCTACTCTTTATGGGTCAAAGCAGGAAAAAGTATTTCCAAATGATTCAGACCAAAAATTTCTCGTAGAAAAATGTTTTATTTGGGGCCTAATTTATCTGTTTTGTGACTTTATTCGTTTCACGGGCAATTTCTCACATGTCCATTGTTTTCATTTTTCTTGAATCTTTATTACAGAACAGTTGGAATGCAAATACCAATTATTATCCAGAAATGGGCATTCAGTTGATTTTGAAGGAACCTGAACTTTTGCCTTGGATTATTCAGTCATTCAAAACTACATTTCTCTGTGAGTTTCAAATCATAGCAGGGTTATTTAGGCAACAAAAAAATTTTAAGGATGTCCTTAAAGTCTATTTTTAAGGGAGAGGACTATAAAAAATAGTGAATGGGTATTCTAAATAGCTAGGGAAATGAATGTGTGTATGAGGGTAATGTAGGAGTGATGCCCAAGGTGTAGAGTGGGGTGGGAGTTCCTGTGAGGAGCATGAGCCAGGAGGTGATGTATGAAGGACTGTGTCATAGATGGCCATCCCTTATTAGAACATCTAAGGTTGACACTTTCCCCAAACAACAGTGACTTGTTAATATGTTTTTCCTGAGAAAAAGGGTAACCAAAACTTCACACCCTCCCAGAGCCTGGAGAGTGGGCAGACTTTGTGTCTCAATGTACCACAGAGGGACCCTCTTTTCAAGTCACACTGAACTCCTCTGGAGCCTCCCCCATCATCCTTCCCCAACCTCCAAATCTTTGAGACACCAGCCTAACACTAGCTGTGTCTGTAATCAATGGGCAGGAGTGCAGCACCCCATCCTGGAAAATTCCACTGAAATGTTTCCTCAAGCAGAATCTGACCTCAGGCACACAGCATCCTTTGTTCACATTTCTCACTCTGCCCCCTGCTAACATGGAGGGTTTTAACAGTGGGAGCTCAGAATAGAGCTGCAACATAGAGCATAGGGATACACAAATCCTTATTTTATTAACACTGTAAATTCCATTTCCTCAGAATGGCCAATTTTTCTCTGCCTAGCAGCAAAAAGATAGTTAAAGGGACTTCTGGTGACATTCCCTTTGTTTAATGAAGCTTGGAGTTATGGGCAACTGCCTTGAACTGCCGTTATTATCTGCATGAGTGAATAAGGGCTGAGGGTCCAAGTCTGTGCAAAGACTTTTATTGCAAATAGGCACATTGATCATTCATAATCAGACCTACCAGGTCAGCAGAGCTGCGGTGACAGCAAGCCCTGAAAAAGCTGACCAACGGAGTACTAGCGCTCATAGGTTAACATATATTCAAGCAGAATGAGATCCTCTTTTCTTTACACCCTTGTCTCTTGGCTTTCTTCTGACAGAGTGGGAATGAGAACCAACAGGCATTTGAACTATATCCCATATCACCAACCACAGAGTCATCCTCTTCCCCTCTGAGGCCTCTACATGTTTCTAGAGCCCTGTTTCTGTAGAGGTGTATTCCTTCTGTGTAAAGGTTTGTGCTGTCGGCCTCACATTACCATACGATTTAGGGTATTATGGTGCTGGTTCCCTGTAAATCCATGGCTTTCTGATTCCCAATATTTACTCACATTAAACTCACATTCAGAAGAGCATTTCAAAGACATCCCTATTTGAAACTTCAGAGCGAATGTTGAGCCATGTTTGTTTCCTTATCATTGCATTGGCTAGTAAGCTTTTAAAATATACCTTTGAATACAGGGACATCCTATTTGAAAAGTCGGCTTTATTACATTACTAGTGGCTGGTGCACGAAATTCGTGCACGGGGGCGTCGGGGAAGAGGTGTCCCTCAGCCTGGCCTGTACCCTCTCCAATCTGGGACCCCGGATTTGTGTGTTGGTTTGTTGACTCAGTGACACAGGGACAATGGAAAGGCTTGTACCTTCACCTAGATTACAAAATTGGAAGAATTAGATAATACATGCATTTTAGATTTTAGGCCTCCTGATTCTGCTCTAAAGAGTGACAAAGCTAAGGAGGTATTAATCAGTAGAGAGCATGACAGCAGTAGCAGGGATATAAAATTTGAGGAGAGTCTGAAATCAAAGAGGATTTTGAGATTAATAGTATATGGTGAAAACACCAAGAAACTCAATTTGATGTCCCGTGTTCATACAGAAAAGTGGTGTTGCTAGCCCATTTTGAATTGGATGTGCTTTGTGAATTATTTTTCTAACGGTGATGAATTTGCAATGGTCTATCTACACGTGATCACTCAGTTGACCTTGTGACCAATGACAAGCATATGTCAAATGGCTGGCAAGGGTGAGGGGTTTCCTGAGTCATCTGAGTGATGAACCCATGAGCTTGTTAGCGTGATTTCTTCATCAGCTGTGCTAAGTGAACAAAGAGTGCACTAAAGGGGTAAGAAGGAAAATGTGACCATTTTGATAATCACTTCTTTTGCGACTTGATGCAGGCAAGAATCAACTAGGCTGTGATTCTTCCATCAGATGCTGAGAAATGAGGAAGCATCTTAAGTCTAAAACAACTAAATATATACACACCTATGACAGTATTTTTAGATGTTTTTCCACATTGCCACATAAACTCAAAATCAGCCCAAAATAGTAGTCCAACAAATTTTACAATTGATTTTGCACTTAGTGAACTGCTCAATACATAGGTACTAGTAATTTGATTTTAACCATTAATTGGAAGAAGTTTAATCATAGAATTTTGGAAATAAAAGGGACTTTGTGGTTTAATCACTCATTCTAAACTAAATAATCTTGAGGCTCAGGAAAGTAAGTGACTATCCTGGAGATTATCAGAGATTTAATGGGCCCCTAATTTCTAGCTCAATGTTTTTTGTCTTACTCTCTATAATAATTTGTATTTTTTAGATTTTTACACATAAGTTTTCATTCAAAGTTTCTCTTTGGTTCCAATTACATGTTTTAGAGGTTTAGGGTCCAAATGAGAATCATATACTGCCTTTAGTTTTTGTGATTCTTAAATCTCCTTCAGTTTGGAACAATTCCTCAGTCTTCCCTTAGCTTTCATGACCTTGACATTTTTGAAGAGTTACTTGTAGAGTGTCCCTCATTTGGGGTTTGTCTGAGATTTCCTCCTATCTAAGGTTAGGTTATGAATATTTGGTAGAGTACAACAGAAATGGCACTGTATTATTTTCAGAGTACAATACCAAGAAGTACACTCTACCAAGTCTTCCTGTCACTGGTAATGTGCCCTGTGAACACTTGGTTAAGGTGTTGTCTGCCAAGCTTCTCCAGTATGAAAGTATGTTTTACTTATTAAATAATAAGCAATTAGTAAGTATTTGTGGGGAGATGTTTGAGATCATGTAAGTTTCATTTCCCACATCAAACGTTTGTCCATTAATATTAGTATCCATTGACAATGTTTTTCTAAAACTATTATTTTCATTGTTGCTAAATAACTATTTTCTAATGCCAAAGTTCCTTCTACATTGTTAGTTGACATTTGACTCTAAGCAAGACTTTTCCCATCTCTTGCTTTTATTTAATCATCATGTGTACATATCAGTATGAACTTAAGGATATCAATTTTATTCACTGGGTTATGATTTTTTACAGGCATTTTATTTTGATATTCTGTCACGTATTTGACCAGTGAGAGTTTCTTTAAACAGAATCTCATCTTTTCTTGCCATATACACTTCATTTTATTTAGCACGTTTTTAAGTTCTGGCAAGCCAAGATATTCTAGGATTTACCATGGACTTTTTTTTCACCCTAGCCTTGAAATCAGCCAATTCTCTAGAGAACCTTAGGTTTTTAGTGGTATTTAGAAACCGAGATCTGTGCACTTTTGTTATTTGCTTCAGGGTCCTCTCAGCAAAAAGACCTAAGAAGTATATATGTATGTGTGTGTATAAGTATATGTATAGGTATATTCATACTTATAAATCCTTATTTTTCCATAGCAAGAAAATATGACCACAATATATATATTTATTTTTCTTAATCCCCTTGTATCTGTCAATCTCAGAGACACATAAGCCATCTCCTTGGGGCCCAACGAAATGGGATTTCCCCTTAGCGCTGGCCCCAGAGAATACACTAGTCAAGTTCCTGAACATGGCTAGAGTGGGCTGGGCTGGCTATTTTCCTTCCTCCAGTTCAATTAGGCTCTGATAAAACCCCAGCTGATTAAGCTTTGGTTAACTGGTTTCTCCTGAAGGCAAACCCTGTTAAGAAGAGAGCGCTCTGATGTATTTCCTGTCTCCCTGCTAGAAACTCAAGGGGAATTTTTCTCCAGTATTTACTGTGAGGACCTGGTAAGGCTCCTAGAGGTAAAATTCACAAAAGTGTGGGGTTCCCCCCTTACCCCAATGACTGGGTCTTTCTGGTGTTTTTATCTCAGACTTGTTCACACTGAGCTTCAAGCAATTCATCAATTACAGTTCAGTTGTCCTCTGGCCCTGGTTCCCGTGGAGGTTTCACCTTACGGATTTCTGCTCTGGTAAGTTGTGATATTCTGTATTTGCCTGTCGATGTCTATTTTGGGGGGGCAGCGGTTTGCCCTGTGATTTGACTTCTCTTATGGATCTAAGAAGAATTGTTGATTTTTTGGTTTGTTCAACTTTTTACCTGTTGTTTTGATGGAGTGGCAACTCCCAAGCTTCTTATATTTCAGGCCAAAAATGGAAGTTTTTACTTAGGCCTTTTCGGATTTCTTTCAACAATGTCTTGTAGTTTTAGGTGTACAGGTCTTGCACCCATTTTGTTCATTTATCTCAAGGTATTTCACATTTCTTGTTGGGTATTTTTTACAATTTTATTTTACAATGGTTCATTGCTACTATATGGAAATACACTTGTATTTTGCAACCTTACTAGTAAGTAGCTTTTTGAACATTCCTTAAGATTTTCTACATTAATATAATATTGTCTCAACTGGGACAGCTTTTAGTCTTTTTCTTTTCCAATTCATATGCTTTCTATTTATTTTTTTCCTTATTGTAATAGCTAGCACCTTCAAAAAAATGCTGAATAGAGTTGATAACAGTGAGTTTTTTTGCCTTGTTCCTAAACTTAGGGACAACTGTGGGGTTTTGTTTTTTTTTGTAGATGCCTCTTGTATCCATGAAGTTACCTTATTTTTTTAGTTTGTTAATAGTTTTTAACCATTAATAGGTATTCAATTTTATTAGATGCTTTTTTTCATTCCTTTTTAAGCCTAGTAATATACGGAATATACTCAGTTACTTTAATAGATTTTCAAATGCTAACCAAACTTGTTTTCTTAGGATAAATCCTACTTAGGCATAATGTATTACACATTTTATGTATTCCCGGATTTGATTTGCTAAATTTTTAAAAATAATTTTTACATTTATTTTATGAAGAATATTGGCCTGTAATGTTCTTTTCTGATGTCTTTGGTTTTGTTATCTGGATGGATAATGCTGGCTTCATAAAATGAATTGGGAAGAGTGTGTGCTATTTTTTTTTTTCTTCTAAAGCAGTGGTTCTCAACCATGGCTGCACATTAGAATCACCTGGGAATCCTTTTAAAATCCTGATTTCTGGGCCTCATCCTTTGGAAATTCTGTTTCTTAGTTATGGGGTGGGGACACAACATTAGTAACAAAGAAACAGAATTTCTGGAGGATGAGGCCCAGAAATCAGGATTTTAAAAGGATTCCCAGGTGATTCTAATGTGTAGCAACGGTTGAGAACCACTGTTCTAAAGCATAAGGTAGAATTTACCCAGGAAGGTATGTGGGTCTGTTGTTTTAATTGTAGAAAGGTTATTCAAATTTTTCATAGACCCAGGTGTCTTAGATTATCTACTCATTTTTGAATGAGCTTTGATTGTTGGTGTCTTTTAAACTATTCTTCTATTTTATCTAAGTTGTTGAATTTATTAGGATACAGTTGACCTTAAAATTTTCTTATCCTTTTAATACTTATAAGGTATTCAGTAATGAGCCACCTTGTATTTTTATATTGGTGATTTGAATGTGTTTTTGTTGTTGTTTTCTGATAAATCTGAATAGGATTATTCAATTTTATTAATGTTTTCAAAGATCAGGTTTTGGCTTCATTGAGTTTTCTCTATTATTTTTGTTTTATATTTAATTGATATCTTCTCTTAATTAATTTGCTAAGAAATTATTAACATTAATGACTAATATTCCAAATTAGTCACTTGGGGGTTAATTTTCTTTTTCTAGTTTCTTAGTGTGGTAGCTGAGATCTTTGATTTTATCTAAGATTTGATATAAACCTTTTCTCTTTTCTAATACTTAAGTGTGTTATGGTTGTAAATTTCTCTCTAAACACTTTTGTAGCTGCAACCCTAAAATTTTGATTCATTGCTAATTTAGTATTATCCATTTCAAAATGTTTGCTAGTGTCTTTTATGATTTCTATCTTGATTTGAGGGTTGTATAAGCTAAGATGTAAGTTGCTTAAATTTGTAATATTTGAGGCTTTGTAGATGTTTTATTTTTATTAATTTCTAATTTAGGTTTTGGCTAGAGAAAATCCTATTTTAAGATTTTTAGCTTTTAAATTATATTGACTAAATTTATGATTAGTATATGATTAATATTGGTTACTATTTCATATGCACTGGAAAAGATTGTGTAATCTGAAGTTGTGGCATTATAGTGTTGTTTAAATGTCAAGTATATTAAGGTGGTTGACAATGTTGCTCAGATCTCTATTATCATAGATGGTGTTTTTTTTTTCCTGGTTGTTCCATTAATTGTCAAGAAGAGCATGTTTAAGTCTTCAACTAAGATTGCATATTTTCCTTTTTTTCCAGTTTTTGCTTTATATGTTTTGTAGCTCTTTTATTGTGTACAATAGTACCCCTTTATGTACAGGGGGTATGTTCCAAGATACCCTGTTGAAGCAGGGGGTCCCTCAGGGGTGAGGACAACGGAGCCCCAACGCGATAGGGCATCTGCATGCATGACCCCGGGGCCAGGTTGAGTGACGCAGATCCATTTTATTGTGGAACTACAGGGGTATATATAGCATGAGGGGACCAATCAGAGGGAGACACGTTGCTACAGGCGACCAATGGCTGAAAGGCTGGGGTACTGTGCACGTGGCTCTAGGAGTTCATTCAGGCGGGCATTGCTACTTCCTGGTGTGCCGAGGAAGCATGTCATGGTGGAGTGTGCTCACCCCATTGCATCAGCCACAGCGCTGAGACATACTTCCCGAGCTCTACTACACCCTGGGGCTGCCTGAAACCACAGACACTATGAATCTTATATATACAATATATATAAGTATAATAATATTAAGTATAATGTTAATAAGAATAATAATTAAGTATAAAAAGTATAATACAATATATGTATAAGTATATGTATATGTATAAGTAATATATATATAACATGTACATTATACTTACATATCTATGATAAAGTTTAATTTATAAATTAGGCACAGTAAGAGATTAATAGCAATAACTACTTATAAATTATAACAATATGCTATGATAAAATTATATGAATGTTTTCTACCTCTCTCTCTCAAAATATCTTATTGTACTATACTCACCCTTCTCGTGATGATGTGAGATAATAAAATGCTTCCATGATGAGATAAAGTGAGGTGGATGAATGATATAGGCACTCTGACATAGCTTTAGACTACTACTGACCTTCTGATGATGTATCAGGAAGATCATCTGCTTCTGGTGATCCTGGATCAAGTCATGAGGACATCAATGGCTGGATGCCAGGGGCAGATGTCAATGTTTGGGCAAATTTAGTATTTTCAGACTGCAGTTGACTGTGGGTTACTGAAACTGCAAAAAGTGAAACTGCATGAGGAGGGCCGACTGTATTTATAGTTCTTTTACCTTCTTGATACATGAACTTTTATAAGAATGACATATCCCCCTCTATCTCTAAAAACAGCACTTATCCTCAAGTTTATTTTATTATATTAATATTAAGTTGTTCTTATTTGCAAATAAAATTTTAAATTTTTACTTTCAGTAATTGTGTTTTCTTTTAAGGTCTCATAGGTAGGAGATCATTTATATGCAAGATCTTTTATATAAAAGACATGAATTAATTCACATCTGTTACATTTAATATAATTATTGATGTGCGTGCATCTAGATAAGCTTTTAACTATTTGTTTTAAATTTTAGCATTCAGTTTTTTCTTTTTCATCTTTTTGCCTTGTTTTTTTGTAAATATAAATTTTAAAATGCCATTTTCATATGTCTACTTTTCTATTTTAACTGCATTTTTTAGTGGTTGCTGCAGAGGTTAAAATGTATAGTTTATATCTATTCAGGCTACTTAGATATAATTTTTAATTACTTCTTGTAAAATATAGAAGGCTTGTAACAATATATATTTCCATTTCCTCCCCCTTCTTAAAACTATTTCCATGTGTTTCGTATCTATTCACCCTATAAAGCAGAGGTGGAGAAGGTCCAGCTCTCTGGCCATATAAGACTCGCAAAATCATTTGGTCTGGCCCTGCCAAGACACTAGGGGTGAGTTAATTAATTGTTTAACCAAATATAGCAGGCTACTTTTTAACCTGATAATTTTGTATGGCCCATGAATGATGTTATAAATATCCAAATGGCCTTTGGCAGTAAAAAGGTTCCCCACCCCTGCTATAAATCAACAAATAACATAAGATACCTTTTTGCCTTATATACTCATATAACTTACAAAAAAGAAAAGAAGTTTTATATTTACTCATACTTTTACCATTTCTGTTACTTCATTCTTTCCTATTGATCTGAGTTGTCATTAAGTGTCATTTATTTTGAGATTGAAGAACTCATCTTAGCATTTCTTATAGTGTATACCAGTGTTCCTGATAGTTTCTTTAATTTTTGTTTACCTAAAAATGTTCTTAATTTGCCTTCAATTTTGAAATATAGCTTTGCTGTAAATATTTTTTTTATCCTTCCATGCTTTGAATATGCCATTCCAATGTCTTGGACTTCCATGACTTCACATGAGAAGTCAGCCATTAAATTTTGTGGTACCCTCACCTTCTCCAAACCTCCTGAAATATTTTGCTCAGGCTTCTTTCAAGATCGTCTCTTTATCTTTGGCTCATAAGCTGTTTGACTCTGGTATGTCTAGGTATAGATTTATTTTTATTTATCTTGACTGGTATTTGTTGAACTTTCTGGATCTGTAAAATAATGTATTCTACTAAATTTGTAAAGTTTTAGTTAATTTCAAATTTTTTTTTTTTTACCTCTGTGGGGTTTTTTTTCTTTTTCTTTTTTCTTTCTTTCTGGAATTCCAATTACATGCATGCTAGATGATCTTAAATGTTCCGTTCTCGTTTTCTCTGTTCTTTGAATTGGAGAATTTCCATTGGCTTTTTAAGTGCAGGGATTCTTTTTTTAGCCATGTCGGTGTCTGCTACTGAACTTATCTAGCTAATTTTATGGATTCCTCATTAATTTCCAACCGCTCTGCTCTTTGGGTTCTGTTCTCTGAAGCCTCAGTC